AGGGGAGGCGGCGGGGGCAGCGGCCCCTGTGGCTCCAGCCGGTTGAGCGATGCAGCCGACCCCGGCAGGTGACCGAGGCGCCCGGCTGGTGGCAGAAGCAGCACTTCTGGGGACAGCACAGAGGTGGACAGTGTCAGTGCCGCACGGACCGGGGAGCCCGTTTCACCCAGCACAGCCCCACCAACTTTCAGTGGCCACCTGGCTGGTGACACCAGGCCAGGGACAAAAAGTCGCCCATCCTCTCCAAATCCCTCATTTCCACAGAAATGGGCCTTTTGGAAGGAAGGAAAATGGAGCCACAGTGGGGACATGTGTCCCCACAGACTCACCTTCATTGCCACCCGCTTTACCTCCTGTTGGATGTCAGGGAGGAGAAAGCCATAGAAGCCCTCATTGTCAGCTCCCCTCTGGGTCAGCCCACTGGCGTGGTACTGCAAGAGAGGCCAAGAGGGATCATGCCTGGGCTGGTGGTGGTGCAGGATGGGGAGCAGAGGCATCAAGTCCCAGGGACTCACCAGGCAGTTCTCATGGACAGAGAGCCTATCCTGATGGCACAACTCTCCAACCACCCTGGGGTCAGCGTCTGCTCGCCAGCACAGCCTGCACACTGTGGGGGACAGTGGCACCATCACCCCCAGCACCAAATCGGGGGGCCAGGGGATCAGCACCAAGAGCAGGATGGGGCAGAGGCCGAAGCACCTTCCCACGGCAAAGGTTCCTCTTTGCACAGCTGGACACTGGCCAAAATCCCCTCTGGTGGGTGCCCGGAGGGATGCTCCGTGCTCACCTTTCTCACTGGGGTCTTGATGCCTCCTCTTGGGCTGGGGAGGCCCACGGGAGGCTCCCATGTTCTCCAGGTGACGCCCTGACCGTAGCTCCATGACTCTGGACTGGATGCTAGAGCAGCGTTTGCTGAATGCGGGAACTCGGTGCAGTCCAAGACTGTGCTGATGCCCTAGTGTTGGTGTACAACACACCAGGGGCAGCTGGGGTTTTTATACAAGCTGGGGGGGATTGTGACATCATGGAGTGCCATGTTCCAGTTACCAGGTGACTGTGGTGGGTTCAGCACTGTGTGCCCACTGCCTCCCCAGAGCTGGGGCCCAAACTAATGAAAGTGTCACTTTTTTCCTCCTAGCAATTCATGTGAGCTAGTGGAAGTAATGGCTGTCCAGCATCCCCTTCCAAATGTGGATTTCTTACTCCCAAAGGTCACTATGGAATGTGAGGGAGCAATGCGGCGGGAGTTGCTAAAAGCCACTAATTAGAACAGTAAATAATGGGCAAGGATACGTGAGGAATCCTCTCCTCATGTCAGATTCAAATCCAGTATTTCAGCTATAGTTTCTGTCAGTGTTAGGTCCAGCATTGGTCTCCTTGGATTTTGCATGAAAGTAGAAAACATGTTCTCATTAGAATTAGCAGTAAAGCATTTTGTGTGCACCTGCATGGCAGCTTGAGAGGAGACAAAGAAAGCTCACCCAACAGTCCAAGTGCTGTTCAGTCAGTATCTTTATTCACGGCGCCAGACGCACAGGGGATAGTTCCTCCAAAAATCTGTGCCTTACAGTGTAAGGTGAGAGATATATATACAGCTGATACTTAATTATGTGTAATATTTCTAAGAAACGGTTTACATATTCATTAGTTTCCCAATAAATCATTTACATAAGTGTCCGCCCATTGTCACATGCGTGTTAAGTCCATTAGGGTCTCTTGTGGGGGTCGTTTACTTCATCCTTGAGTCTTCCTCACAGACACCTTTGGCCAAGTTCTGTCTCTTCTCCTGTTTATCTCTGCTGACTCTGCAGTAGAATTGGTTACAGTAGGCATCTCTAGTCGCAGTTGAAGTACTTCTTTCTTCTTCAAGGACCCTTGTGTTTCTTCCCTAAAACTACAGACCAGCTCAAACAAAAAAGGCTTTTACAACTCACTAGCATTAGGCCCAGATGAGAGATTTACATCCTACAAGCAGTTGTACACTTGTACAAGCAAGTGCCCCAGGTTCCCACAAAAATAACATCCATGACTTTCCCCTGGATACCTCTGCTGCTGGCCTGATAGGGGAGCAGCAGTGGGTCGGCACAGTCCCATTCTCTCCCTTCCCTGAGGGCCTGCTTTTCACCTCCATCCTGCAGGTTTTTCACCAACACTGTCACAAATACATTGGCCTGCTGTTCTTTTAATTTCCTCTTTGCCTTCTGTTCCTGTTGAACTTATTCCTGCCAGGAACATCAGGCTTCTGCTGAGAACCTCATCCCTGTGCTCCTCAATGTCTCAGAGAGACCAGCCAAGGGTGTCTCAGGTTGGCTACACATGATAGGGAGAGCAGAAAGGGCCCAGCACTTCACTGAGAAGTAATGACCACGGCCGAAGCAAGAAAGGGGAAAGCACCAATTCCTTGCAGAGAACAGGAGCCTAATTAAGTGTATCACTTTATGAGTGAAAACACCCTGAAAAAAATAATGTCAATGAGAAACTATCAATCCTGTGACCCCTCAAACCAGAACACCAGTACATGTGGGTCTGCTTGCAGCTGAAAACAGCTCCTAGCCAAATCTCAGCCCTAGGAGTGAATATATGTGGCAATAACCAAAGAGCCAAAAAAATATCAGCAGGATATTAAAATCATTAGCCATGACAGATTAAGCTGCTTAGGGTGCTATTTACCTCCAAGCTGATGGAAAGGCTGACCTGCTCATTTGGCCTCATTTGCCATGTCCCAAAGAGGTACATAAGCTGCAGAGTGCCCCATTTCACAGACTTTCTGGGATTCCTCAGAGACAGTAGTCCTCTTTTCCACTACATTGACATCCAAAAATACACTTTTCTGATGCTAAGGATGTGTCTTTGTTTAGGATTGGGTTTCTTATTAGACAGGGGATCATACCATTGCCCTCACACTCTCCAGCCTATATTCAAGCCAAAACATTAAAGACACACCACAGACCTCTAATATGGACATCTCATTTGCAGGAATACCAACAGGTATTAAAAAAATCAGGACACATCATATGACAAACAGCTCAGTCAAAAGACCATCAATTTTAGCCATGGTTGAAAGGGTTTTACTTTAGAAGTTACAGGGTCTGGTCAACTGTAGGAACCAGGGCATGGCCCGTGCCCAGTTCTGCAGAGATTCCTGGGGAAACCTTGTCCAATGTCTTCTTGCCTGTCGTGTGCACTGGCTGGTCCACCTGGGAGGTGATCGACCACCCACACATATGCAAGCGAACTAACAGACTTTGAGCATCAGTCTCTGATGACCTAGACCCTCAGGTCCCTCAGACCCTACATTACTTTATCTTACTGGGTATCAAGATCTCCTGTCCTACTGAGCAGCTGGTCCAGTCTGAGGTTAGCCAGCTCAGCTCACCTGTATTTGAAAACACAGGCTTGAAACAGGGAGCCTAGTCACACAGAAAAAATGTCATTTAACAGGAGTACAGGACAGACTGTAGTGAAACAAGACACTCAGGCAGGCAAACAAACCTATTGCTGCTTACATGCCATTGAACCCTTTTCTCCTTTTTTATTCTGTTTTCCTGTGCTTGATCTTCCCCTGATCCCTCCCTTTCCTCTTCCTATGTCCATTCTCCTGAACATCCCACATGATGATTCATAAAATCCCTAGGTTCTGCCCTGCATCATCCCCAGATTCTCTTCCTGTGCACCTCCTTCATGACACTGCCAGGAGAGAGTTGCCTTCAGTAAGGCATCTTTTTTTACTCACTAAGTAGGAAGTAAGAGGGAACAGTGTGTGTTGGGGTTGCTGCCTCCCATTTGATCAGCCAAGCTCAGGTTTTGGAATTGAAATGGATGTTGAATTAAGGACAAGGAGTCACATGCAGCAGAGGACACCATGTTGTTAGAAGTCACCATAAGCTTGTTCCTGGTTGGTGAGAGCTTATTCCTGAGCATTAGAAAAAGAGGAAGCATCACCTGGTCTGGTAAAGTGGGGGTCAAGGTAAAGCCAGGACCCCTCTGACTCCCATTGCCTCAGATCCATATGAAAGTATGGAGCAACGGGCCTCCCTTCCTTCTGCTGTGTTGGGATGGGTTGGGTTAGGATTGGGTAAAACTAGGACACAGCTCTTTAATTGGATCTCAGAAATCCTACTAGTTCAGGACAGATGCAGAAGGGCTTATAGCCCAAAAAGCAGATGCCAAAAGAAGAAACAGAAACTATTGCAGACAACTACAAAGTTGGATTATGCAGCTGGTGCCTTTCTTAGGCGTGAACGAGGTTAAAATGCGAGTAGGAGGGAAGAGTGTTCCACAAAACAAGAAACGTGCCCACAGGGTGCATGACTGAGGCTGAGCACTGGAAGCCAGGGAACAGGCATGGAAAATTCATTTTGCACTTCCAAAAAATGCAAGTTCTGTGGACGACTGCATGTTGAAAGAAGCAGCTCAGCTGAGGGGCATGGAAGGCTCTGAAGGACACAGGCTACATCCAGGATCACCAGTTTCTGACTTGGGGGAAGGTCAGGAAGCCATGATGGACTGTCTGGATCATGCCACAGATAGAAAACCATCTTGGAATGTCACCAGGCATCAGCAGCTTGGAAGGACTTTGTCCCTAGCAGTACATGGGGGGGGGCTACATGGAGAAATTGAGGTGTACAAACAAATGTCTCCAGAGCTTCCATGCCCGGATACTAAGCATCAAGCAGGAGTCAGCTCAAGGTAGAATGGAGAACAGAAGTCTGAAACTGACAATGCAAATCCCTCAACGTCTGGTGGGAAGGAGAAGGTGACCAGTGTACACATTTCGGTGTCTTCAGTAGTGGCTGAAAGAGGTTGCAGGTGGAGGGGAATGGGAGGACCTGAGCACGCATGGAAAAGAATGAACATGGAATAGGCATGGATGGAGAGGAAAAAGGGTGGTCTATGGGAGAAGGGAGGGGAACAGAGGAAGCCTAAGGACGCGTGGAGGGGAATAGAGGTAGGGATGCAGGCAGCTGACCTGGACCCACCACTGCACTCAGAAACCTCATTTCCTGCCCCCAAATGCCCCTTTCCCACTACAGTCTCCCATTTTCCATCCTGAAACACCAGAGTGGTCATAGAACCATAGAATCCCAGACTGGTTTGGGTTGGAAGGGACCTTAAAAATCATCTAGTCCCAACCCTCCCTGGCGCGGGCAGGGACACCTCCCACTGGAGCAGGTCACACAAAACCCTGTCCATCCTGGCCTTGAGCACTTCCAGGCGTGTGGCTTCCACAACCTCCCTGGGCAACCTGTTCCAGCACCTCAGTGACCGCGGCCCCGCTCCCCCTCCCCCCCCTTGCCTCGGTACCTCCCGCCCCGCCCCGGGCCCGCCCCTCCCGCCGCCACCGCCGCCGGTGCGGGCCCGGGGGGGGC